GGTGGCGCCAAGGGCCGCCCTCCTTGTCAAAAGGGCCGCCGCCGCCGCCGCCGCCTCGGGAATCTCACCGGCTCTTCCTCGCTGCTCTCCCCCAGCAGACTCTGCAGGCGGCGCCAGCTCCGGCTGAGGCCCAGCAGGCTGCCCAGGGTGGTGTCCCCCGCCGCCGCCGCCACGGCCCGCTCGCCCTCTCCGGAGGAGGCGGCCCAGAGCAGCAGCTGCGGCGCCAGCAGCGAGATCCGCGCGCGGCTGCCGGCCCCGGCTCCCCGCGCTCGGCACCCGCCGGGCCGTCCCGGAAAGCGGCCCCGCGGCACCGAGGCCCAGGAGGAGGAGCCGCTACCGCCGCCGCCGCCGCCGCCGCCGCCTCCTCCCGCCGCTGCCGCCGCAGCAGCCGCCGCCGCCGCCGCCATCTTTAAACACTGAGAGGACTCTTAGGGGGCCGGGCCACCACAATAACAATCCTCCACCAGCGCCTCCAGCTCGCGGGCGCGAGGCAGCTTGGGAGTGCGAGTCCCGCGTCGGGCAGCTGTGCCCTGAGAGAAAGAGGAGGGGGCGAGACTCCTGGACCGCGGTTCCCGTCGGGCGCCGCGGGCCGGAAACGCCCTTCTGACGTAATGCGAATTGTGGGGGAAAGAGTCCTGGCTTTGCTTGGCGCTCTGCAGTCCGACCGAAGCGGTGAAAGAGGAAAGACTAGGTTTCCCATCGGGCACCGCGGCCGCACTCGAGCCTGAACGGCCCTTAGGGCATGGTGAACGATTGAGACGGGCGTAATGGTCGCTCGCTTAGGAGAGAGAGAGAGGTCGGAGGACCTTGCTAAAATGTCTGTACAAAGAACAAAATTCGGATTTCCCCTGTGCTTTATGACGCGGAGTAACTATTGCTCTCTCCATGAACTGTTGCAAGAGAAGTCTTTTAAACCAGCTAATAAGAAGTTGAACTTCCTTTGCGCTCAGCCTGAGATGCAGGTACGAGACCACAGGTCCCAGGATGCAGTGCGAGGCTGGATTCCCGTTTCCGTTGAATGCTGGGAATTGTAGTCTGCGAAGAAGCTCCGCTTGGCCGTGCGATCAATGCCGTGTAAAATCCCGGAAGAAGCTATAAAAGGGTTTTTTTTCCCCTCCCCTTGATAAGCTGCCTGCAAGAATGAGTTTGCAAGTCAACCGTGCAAAGAGTCCCACATGTCTGGGGTCGCAGTAATGACGGGTGGTCCAATCTCGCCTCTCCGCTTCTCTATTTGACAGGGTCAGTTTGAGTCAGAGCATGCCTCCAGGTCCCAACCAGCTATTGGCTTCAAAACTTTCAAAGTTGAAGAATGAATGAATGAAAACCACGCGTCAATCTAGTATAAAATATTATCAAATCCTAACTAGACAAATTCTGAACTGGGTCGTTCATTTTATGTTATTTGCTCCAAAGAAAAGAGGGAGGACGGATACCTCTGACTTCCTAAGGCAATTCAGAAGGGAGTTTCCCATTACAGAGCTGGAGGCTATGAGCAAAATAGCAAGAATTATCCTGCACGTAAAAAGAGCTAGGCATTCAGACAAAAATCAAATATCAACAAATGCCCCAAATAATGTTGAAAGCAAGAGAAAAGCATTGTTATGATCAACAGAGTTCAAACTGAAAGTTTTATTATCCAGACTGGCTGTCATTAGGTTAAAAAAAATTGCCTTCTGCCTTATTTTCACCTTCTGTCGACCTTTTGGCCTGGGATTGCTACTCAATGAAGTTACATTGTAGTCCTTTTTATCAAGAATCACAATGTTACTCACAGTCTAGGCACATAAATGCAGGCCTGGTTCAATCCTGCCTTTTCTAAATCTTATTTTGCTTGTTATGAACGTAAATTGTGTCTTGTTCCTAATCAGTTACTGCACATTGCAACTAATCCGAATAATTTGTGCACATCTGCACACATACAATTGTGTACAGTAATAATTACTGCCAAGTAAAACTATAGTGACTACAGCATTTCAAAGAAAATCCTCCAAAGCAGTGAAACAGCTGACATATTTCATTTTTTAAAAATTGATATTTGATTTTTTTTTTAAACAAAGCATTACATCCAAAGAAATAGTAAGCAACTGGCTCTTGTGGAGATACAGGTTTACTTACGAAAATTAATATTGGAAGGATTTTTGAGATCAAGTCTGGAAAACTTGAGCAAAATAAATTTTCCAGCGTCAGAAATTTTCCACATCAGACATCTGGCACTTTCATAATTGTATGATGTTTGTTGGTTCAGGTGATTATTAAAAAAAATTGAGTGATTTTGATGTAACTAAAATACACATTTAGTGTATATACTAAATGCAATATACTAAATGCAATCATATTCTTTGCATAGGAAAATATTTCAATACAATTTTGGGGCTGGGATGAGAGCATACAGCCTAAAAGTAGCCTTTTCCCCCCCTCCTAATCCAATTTCTCAACTTTAGCAACTTTAAGATGCGTGGACTTCAATTCCCAGAATTCCCTAGCCAGCTGGGGAACTCTGGTCCGAACATTTCTTATCATTAGTTTAAGAAAACAGAAGAAGGATATAGACTAAGAATGAATGAGCTCTGAAGGACTGATTTGGCAGGAGGCTGGACTAAATCTCAAAATCCCTCACAAGGAATGAACATATTGGCGACTCGTTTTAAGCAGCAACCGCCTCACTGAAACTCCCAATTAAGGAGCTTCAATTCCATGTGCTTTAAGAAGTGGCTGTAATCTTGGGTTTGAGACATTTGGGATTAGAAATTTCACTCCTTTAATAAAGGATTAAAGAGAAGAGGGAGCGGGGAAAAAACCAGTCACTCTGCAGCAGCCACAAAAACTCACGCTACAAGTTTGCAAGTTTGTATTTCACCAGAATTACTTAGTAATTAGTAAGCGATTCCCATACTGCCACAGGGACTATGTTTCTAGGAGCTTCAAGCTACAATATAGAAACATGGCATATGCAGTTGGCTATGGAGAACAGCCTGGAACATTAATAGCCAGACATGGGTCTTAAACTAGGGGTGTCAAACTCACATCATGTGACGTATCGGGACTTTTTTAGCTCTCTTCGCTAAACCGGGCAGGGGAGGCGACAGCATGTGAACCATTTGGCCCGCAGCCCGCGAGTAAGCCATGTTTTCTTCACCTCACCAACTTTAAGAAGTGTGGATTTCAATTCCCAGAATTCCCCAGGCAGCATACACTACTGGCTGGGGAATTCTGGGAGCTGAATCCCACACAACTTGAACATTTCCTAAAATGTGGCCAGATCTTTGTTGTTGGATAGAACCTGCACCTTCAAGTGGTTGAGCCTGCTTCTTGGTATAACATCAACACTTCATTGAATGTGGAAAGTTGGTCAGACCATTAGGCCGGGCTTTTATTAAGCCACCAATAGAAAATAATGATCACAACACAATAATAGAGTAGGAAGGGACCTTGGAGGTCTTCTAGTCCAACCCACCCCCAAAACAGGAATCCCTACACTTTTTCAGACAAATAATTGTCCAATCTCTTCTTTAAAACCTCCAATGTTAATGTTATCCATTTAATCACGTCCAACTCTTGGCAATTCTACGGGGGCCAGCTTTCTCCACATCTTCCAATCTTGCCCTACTTTTATTTTTATTTTTTGTTTTAATTTAGTTTGTCAAGCATGTATCTCCCCTAGTCTTTCTTTTCATTAGACTAGACATACCCAATTCCTGTAACTGTTCATTGATTTTAGCCTCCAACCCCTTAATTATTCCTGTTGCTCTTCACTGCAGTCTTTCCAGAGTCTCAACATATTTTTATATTGTGGTGACAAGAACAGGATGTAGTATTCCAAGTGTGGATTTACTAAGGCTTTCTAAAGCAGTGTTAGAACTTCATGCGATCTTGATTCTATCCCTCTATTAATGCAGCCTAGGGTTGCATTGGCTTTTTTGGCTGCTGCCATGCACTGTTGGCTCATATTTAAGTGGCTGTCCACCAGGATTCCAAGATCCCTCTCACAGTTACTGGCATTAAGCCAAGTTTCACTTAGCCTCTATCTGTACAGTTGGCTTTTCTTGCCTAAGTATAAAACCTTGCTTTTATCTACTTTGAATTTCCCGCTGTTTATGCTGCTGCGTTCTATACCAGTTGTAGCTTCCAAGCACTCTTCATGGGTAGCATACCATATAATAGAATTCTTTTATTGGCCAAGTGTGATTGGGCACACAAGGAATTTGTCTTAGTGCAAATGCTCACAGAGTACATAAAAGATACATTTGTCAAGAGTCAATCATAAGGTACAACACTTAATAAGTCATATACATATAAGTATAAACAAGTATAAGTATATACATAATGAGTTCCAATAAATGGGAACAGTAGGACAGGGACGGTAGGCATGCTAGTGTACTTATGTACTACAGACCTCTTAGCAATGGAGTGAGGGCCAGGGTAGACAGTTTGAGGTTAAAGTTTTGTGGGTTTGAGAAAAACTTCTGTGAGTTTTTCTATGCTCTGGCCGGTGTCAGCTTTGATGGCGTCCACCCACTGTGTTCTTTGACAGCCTGTTTCTTTTTACCGCTTTCAAATATAATTGCTTTCTCCAGTGAATTCCCTCAAGCGGCTTGGTCAAAATAAGAGAAAGTTGGGTTAGGCAAATGAAGGCTCAAAGACCGCCAAGCCAAGGAAAGGGGGTCTTCTTTCACCCTCACAGCCTGAGAGGGGCGACACAGCAAAACAGGGGCGAGCGGAGAACCCCGAGAACGCAGCGGGCCCTGAAGGAAGAGGGGCCCGCCCGCTCCTAAAGAGAGCCTGGCCTGACGGAGGCTGCCGGCCCGGCCAGCGCACTCCACCTCGCGGTTCCAAGGGCGACTGTCACCAGACGCGGGGCCGACGCCTTGGAGCCGCGGGGCGGAGCGCCAGCAGCCACGACGTCCCGCCAGCCCGGAGCGAGTGAATCAGATAGGAAGCCGACGGCCCCTTCGGCCGTAACCGCCCCTTCCCTCCCTCCCTCCCTCTGCTCGCTCGCCCGCCCTGCCCCGCTCCCCCTTCCAGGAGCGACAAACCGAAAGAGACGCCTCCCTAGCGCTCCGCTCGCTCCCCGCTGGAAATGTCCGGGTTTAATTTGGATCTGGGGCCCGCCAAGGAGCCGCTCGGCTTCATCAAAGTCCTGCAATGGGTAAGTTGAGCAGCGGCGGCGACGGGAGGCACCCAGCCAGCCGAGCCCGGGCGGGCTGCTGCGGAGGGCCCGCTCCCTCCAGCCGAAGGGACGGAAACGTAACGCCAAAGGAGGAAACCGGGGGCGCCACGCGCGACTGCAGGGCACACGCGTGCAATCCGGGCTCTGCCATTTCCCTCGGGCCTCCCCCGCGCCTGGGTGGGAAGGATCGGGGGTGTTTTTGGGGGGGGGGGTTGCAGTCGGTTCCTTTCCCCCCGGTTCCCCCCCTCCCCCCGTTGTCCCGAGCCAAGATCGGGTGAACTTTCCTCCCTCTCTCCCGCTCTGCTTGCACAGTCCAGCGCCTCCGCCTGCATTTTTTCCTATCTCTCCCCCCGCTTTCCTTTCCGTGGTTCTCCCCCCGCACCCGCCCGACGGATTTATAAACACAGGCGTGGCCTCCGGGCTGCGAAGTTGAATGTTTCGATTCCTTCTAGGAAACTTATGGCTCTTCCACACCCCTAAATCCTCCGGCGATCTATTTTTGGGAATTTTCCCTCTCTCTTCCCGCCCCCCCCGCCCCCCCGCTTCCCTCAGTTGCATAGTTGCGCTGTCTTCGCCCGCGAGCCGACGTGCCTAAGCCGTGGAATCTGCGGCCAGAGATCCCGCGATTCGAAAGGGTCGCTCCCAGATCCACTAGTACAGATTGCGCCTGAATCGGTTGGGTTTCTTTTCTCCCGCACTCGCCCTCCCGCCCCCGTTTCAACGACTGGCTTCTTTCCCCAAGAATACCGGATCCAAAGGGCCCGTTAAGTTGCTTTAAGGAATCCAGAGAGGCTTAATCGCTTAACATGGGATCTTTAGCGGGGGGGGGGGGGGGTTTTTTGAAGGAAAAGAGGGTGGGGGGGGGGGGGGGGGGAGGTCTGATCTCCGGGGCTATGGAGGAATGAAATGGGCGCCTTTGCCCGAAGAAGCTATTGTATAAGTTTATTCCTGGGGAAGAGAGCAAAATGGCACCTCTGTTTCTACCGCTTCCAGATGGTGCCCCGTTCAACGGAATTCTAGGCCTTGTTTGTATTGCTTGCACTGTAGTTTGATTTATTGATGATTAAAAAAAACAAAAACCAACCTGGTGTGGATTGACTGCAGGGTGCAGCTAGTTACACAACAGAAAAATAGTCTTTGTAGCTCAGGTTTGAATTGTGGAGTCCTTGGTACACGTGGGTCCTCAGCCTATGACCACAATTGACCCGAATCGAAAATGTATGTCCTTAAGCAAGACATATCTTGAGTGAGTTTGAGCTGTTTTTTTACCACTTTTCTCGCCACGTTAAGTGAATCGCTGCGGTTCTTAAATTAGGGACAAGGGGTTTTAAGTGAATCTGGCTTCCCCATTGACTTTGCTTGTAGGAAGTTTGCAAAAAGGGATCGTGGGACACCGCCCCCTCCCAAGGACACCTGCACCCGTCATAAATGCAAGTCAGTTGTCAAGCATCTGAATGTAAATCCCCTGACCCATGGGGGACGCTGCTGCGGTCATAAGTGTGGGAAATGGTCCTAAGTCACCTTTTTTTAGTGCCAACTTTGTAACTTTGAACGGTCACTAAATGAACTGTTGTAAGTCGAGGTCTGCCTGTACTCTCTGAGCTTGGTGGTTTTCTTGATGATGTTTCATTACAAACTCTAGGTAACAGCAGATCGTTGGAGATGTTGCCTAGCTGGGCAGTGAAATATCTGTAAGAGGCTCTGAGTGTACCAAGGACTCCATGCAACAGTTCAGATCAGGATTTTTCAAACTTGGCAAACTTTAAGATGTGTGGACTACCACTCCCAGAATTTCCCAGTCAACAGTTGAAATCCAGACATCTTAAAGCTGCCAGGTTTTTTAAAAAAAACACACACACATTGGTTTAGAAACAGGGTCCCCAAACTTGGCAACTTTAAGACTTGTGGACTTCAGCTCCCAGAATTCCTCAGCCAGCTATGTCCACAAGTTGCCAAGTTTGGAGACCTCTGGCTTAGAATATATTGTGGGGGTCAGCAAATATTGTGGGCAAAAAAACCCCCCAAGAACATATTGGTTGGGAACATGCAGGAAAGGCCTTCATTTTGCAGTGGATGGACAATGGCTAAAATGATGGTGATGATGATATCGTGAGGAAAGATGACTGGTTTAATGATTTTAAAAAAATGATTTCCAGGGTCTGAATTCTGGGAAAGAAAAGCATTTAATGAAATCCCCAGTGTTTACTTCTAAGGGAATTTGGGGTGACCTTAAATGCATATGGATTGATATCTCTCTCATGGAGTATAGTTTACATTAAGGGTCACTTGGCAAGTTTAAGACTTGTGGACTTCAACTCCCAGAATTCTGGAGTAACATGACTGGAGGAGGAATTCTGGGAGTTGAAGTCCACAAGTCTTAAAGCTGTCAAGTTTGAAGACCTCTGGTTTACATCATCAGATTCTTTAACGTTGCACTGCCTTAAAGTTTGTAGTACAGTTAATCTTCAACTTATAACTGTTCATTTAGCGACTGTTTGAAATCACTGAAAAATGTGAATAATAACTGATTGGTCACATGATCAAAATTCTGGCGCTTGACAATAATTAGCCTTTATTTAGAACTTGATCGCTATTTCTGATCTTCCCAGCTGGCTTCCAACAAGCAAAGACAGTGGGAGAAACCAGATTCACTTAATGACCGCTTGATTCATTTAACTGTGGCCAAAAAAAAAAAAAGGTTGCAGAATCGGGTGGCTTACTTAATGCTAAGTCTTGCTTAGCAATAGAAATTCAACAGAAATTCTATTCCAAATTATGGTTGTAAGTCGAGGGTTAGCTACAGATAAACAGTTTAACAAGGAAGAACTCTCAAAATGGCCAGTTCTGCCTAGAAAAGTAATGTGTTCAAATGCTTCCCTGGGTAAACAACAAATGCAGCAAACCTGACATGTCCTTGCTGCACCTTTGAAAAGCTGTACAAATAAGGTTTGTGAGAAAAGCATTTGAGCATGAGTAAGAGCTTGATACGCCCAAATACCCGAGTACAGTATCTGATTGTTGATCATGGCTTTGATGGGATTCTGTTTTTAATACTAGATTAATTTCACAAGCCTTTCAAACAGAGCAGGGCAGGAATTGCAAGTGGCGATTGGTAAATGCTATCTTAAGGGAAGCCTGAGATGCTAGATTTAATGTCGAGCTTGGTCCTCCATCATATGCAGGGGTGTCAAAATGGATTTCTATGAGGGCCGGATCAGCATTGTACTTTTCCTTCGTGGGTCAGCAGGGTGGTAGTGGGAGACAGGAGGGATGTTTTCGGACTGGACGGCCTCCTGCAGCACTTTGCCAGCCAAAATGAGGCATGGGGTGGGGGAAACCACACGAAGCCGCTTCGTGCCCCATTTTGGCCCGCCAAGTGCTGCAAGGGGCCACCTAGGCTGAAAACAGGGTGCTGGTGTGTGTGTGTGCAATGCCCCTTGCACCCCCTTTTGGCTGGCAGAGTGTTGCAGGAGGCTATTAAGGTAAAAAATGGGGTGCCGGGGTCTCATGGCCCCCCCCACACACCCCGTCTTGTCTTCCAGAAGCACCGCAGGCCATTCCTTTGCTATTTCCAATTGAGATATCTTTCAGCTCCCTCTCATATGGCTAATGAGGTTAGTGGGAATTGCAGCCTTAACTCCTTCAGTGGGTGTGGATGCTCAACTGGCTGAGAATAATAATCAGGATGGAAGTCCACCATGGATGATGAGGGTCCTTCCTTTTTTCCCATGGCCAAGTCATGTTGGGGTGGTGGTGGTCTTTTTCAATAATTTGGAAGGGGCATGCGTAGTTAGAGTAGGTGTAGAGTGTGGGTGTCAAAATCAAGGCGTTCCAGCAAAGCTCCATTCCAATCAGTAACTCCGAGACAAACATATCTGAAAAGCACCTTTATTAGAATAGCCCCTGGCGCATCTGTGGAATCCCGAATCTAACAGTTTTGGGGGGCTTTCCACAATTTCCCAAACGACAAATCCATCCCGCCTTGATCGTCATCACATCACATGGCCCAATCACGATCCGTCCAAAAGTAAGATCCTGAGCCATATTCAATGGCCTTGAACTAAGAAAAGAATTCTATTTTGTCTACCTAGAGCTCCTTAATTGAAATCACCCCCTCCCACTTTCTCAGGCTATGTGGCAGCGTGGAATATGGCTTCCAAAGATGACACCTGGGGGTTGGATCCGGCCCAACAGGATGTTTAGATCTGGCCTGTGGGGCTACCCAGAAAACAGCAAAGGACTGGCCCGCGGTGCCTCTGCCAGTGAAAACAGAGCTCAGGAGGGCTGCTTGTAGCTCTCCCCAGCTCTGTTGTCTCTGGCAGAGGGTTGCGGGAGGCCATCGTAGCCGAAAATGGAGCCGTTTTTGCTGGTTTTGGGGCCGCCACAGGTGCCCCGAATATGAGTGACATCAAGCCGGCCACACCTACATGACCACGCCCCCCCGCCCCCCCCAGGTCAAACACAACCCTGATGCAGCCCTCAATGCAATCGAGTTTGACACCCCTGGTATAGAGGTAGGATGTGAACCAGATGTTATGGAATTGTTCTGGCTAGAGAGATGGGGAAGCTCACAGCCCGGGCTTTGCCTTGTGCTGTAAGGAAAGAGCTGTATCATGAGGAGAATTTAAGATGCAGCTTGGCAAGAGAAGTTGCTTTCAGTTTTTCTTTTTAAGTGAGAGTTTGCTTTTATTTTTGCTATGGGGTGGAAATGGGAGAGGCCTAATTAGAAGCACATTAGAAGTGGGTGATGTTTCCTATCCAGGGAGAATTTGCATCTTGGCCAGGAACGATCTGGAACATTTTTAGATAAATGCATGATTCATTAAACCAGTTATCATGATTTAGAGCCCATCATGGCTCACTCTAAATTTAGAGTAAACCGTGCTGGGCTCGAAATCATGATATTGATTTAATGAATATTGATTTGCATTAAGTGTTCCAACCCTTGCTTTATTAACAGTAGAGGGGAATTAAAAACA